GCTGCTGCTGCTCTCCTTCTCCTTCTCCTTCTCCTTCCCATTCCCCTTCCCCTTCCCCTTCCCCTTCTTCTTCTGGGGGGTATAATCATTTCTATATTGTAAGGAGAAATGAATCAGAAAAAAAATATCTATGAGATTTGCATGAGTTTTGAATAGTCTTTAAAGGGACAGTAAATCAAAATTAGCAATGCTAGTAATTATTTCGGCAACCCAGGAGGAGCCTCCCACACTGGGAACTGCTCTGCAACTTGGTTAATCAAATATGTGTATATTTTTCTTCAGCAAAGACTGCAAGGATCAAAGTAATAAACCTGTAATTAATAGTTCTAGCTTGGAGTGTTTGGTAAGTATGTTCTATTCCCATTCCAATGAGTTTGACATTTGTGTTCCTACAACAAGAGCACTGAGCAGGAGTTGGGCATTAAAGTAACACTGTTTAATCAAAGCCATCTGGTAGAAGCAATTTTAAACATAATTGTCTCAATGCAAAGACACTGTTTCTGTTAGTGTCTCTGGTACAACAATAATTTAGGATCTTGGGATGCTGCCTCATTTACATAACCTCCTTTGTGCATCAGCTCCTCTATCTTGAGCATTGCTTAACTAACAAGTCTGCCGCTCTCCTCGTGCTAGTAAGCTAGAATGCATTGTTTCTTTCTTCTTCTTACGTCGCTTGAGGAGGCACAAGCAACCAGTTTTCAAAATGCCGCCTTCCATTTGTTTCTGTTCCTGATTTTGATACTGTGGGTGGTAAACCATGATAAACAATCCTGTGAGTTATCACTGTCTCCCAGGGAATCTTTGGGTTTGACTTTTTACCCAAGATGTTGATGGTGTGTGTTGAGGCATGTTTAATAAGGAAGTTGATTTTTTAAAAAAGACTGTCCTACTACTGAGACTAAGAAAAATGCATTTATGTGTTGTCTAAATCCCAAACTATAAAGGTAATTTTGGATACAGAATTAGATTTGCCAGATGTATTGGATCCAAAAAACTGGACAAACATCTCTTCCTATAGACTTCCATGGCAGAAAAATTAAGAAAATGTACTGTTTAGCCATACTATGATGTATTTAGTTCTTCTTTATGCTGCACAGACTATAAAGAAAAGGGATTTTATCTAAGACCCTATGATCATATTTTATGACATGTCACTCTGGACAGGATTCCCCAGTCAAGAGTGCTTAGGAATTGGCTTCACGGGGGTTGATTCTCTTGGTAGGCAGAATAAGATGGATGCTTCAGATGGCAGATGTTGGGCACAGAGCAGACAAAACGTCTGCTCAGCTTGCTGGGTATCTCCTAAGGTTACCTGCTGCAAGCCTGGAGAAGTTAATGACTGTTAGCTAGTCAATTACAATGCTGGCTATATTGTGTACGTGGGATCAAGGAGGTACCTTCTTGTCCTTTACATCAAGCAGCAAATATCATGTAGTAATGCAATGCTATCACATGCAGAATTCATATGTGTGTCAATATTCGTGCTAGCTATGTTCTTTTAAAAATATATATTTCATTTAGATGATTATCCACTATATTTTTACACTGAATTTCTTTCATGGCACTGGAAATCAATCAGTAAAAGATGCTGAAAACAGAGAAGTCATTTAATTTTATTTGATAAGTCTGTACTTGAGAAACAGTAAGATCTCCAAAAGCTTAGTTTCTAATAACCCAGATAGAAATGTTCAAGAGCACCATTTTTCAAAAGTTCTTGCACTGCAGTTTAAATAAAAATATTCATTAGTTATTACACAGATTATTTTATCTCTGTGTGTTTTCAAACATCAGCTTGATCACATTAAAAAAAGATATTTTTCTCTTGTTTTAGATATTTGGTGCTAGAACACGTGTCAGGTGGAGAGCTCTTCGATTACCTTGTAAAGAAAGGAAGATTAACACCAAAAGAAGCCAGGAAGTTCTTCCGACAGATTATTTCCGCATTAGACTTTTGTCATAGTCATTCAATCTGGTGAGTACAATAGTTTAGGACACATGACTTTCAACAACCAGGAATTCTTCTGAATAGGGAACCAACCATTCAGGTAGGTCTTTCACTAGGATATCATAAGCTATAATTATTCAAATACAGTAACACAATTCACTCCTCCCCTTCCCTTTGCTTATGTTCAGTTTATCAATAAACATCTAACATTCTGGGATTCTGGGAAGCCACTGAGCATGCTCATTCTTTGTCAGTTATTTGGGATCGTGGCCTTTTCTTTGTAATACTTCAGATTTCTGCATTCCTTACTGCTCACTCCAGTATACTGACAATTACAATTTGTTTCTCAGGGAACAAATTCTGCCTATAATGTTTGTTTAACTTCTGCTGGCTAAAATTTATATTCCAGAGACTCCAGGTGACTAACTTTCAAATAAAAACTCATAAAATAACAATAATTATAATATAGATATAACCATAATAATAAAAATAAGAGACTACAAAAGCACACATGAAGGTTAAAAACAATCCATTGCCAGGGCTCTTAATCTCTTAGTGCACTCGTAGAGAGCCAGGTCTTTGATGCTCTGCAAAAAGATAGGGGCTGAATGTGATACAGATTTTAAAGTGGTACTGATTACCTTCCAAATCCAGCCACTCATACATGTACCCCTTGTTTCCTGAAGGGCCAAGGATCCAACCTGCAGGTGAACAAGTTCATGCCACAGAAAATCTTGTCTACTTCATCAGGATCCAGTTCATTTTATAAGACACTGTCCTACTTACTTCCTCTGGTCCTGCCAATGTGGAATCAAGATCTAAACAAATATAAATGAAATGTGAAAGTGTTTAGTCAACCTGGCAAAGCATCCCTGAAGGAAGATCATCTGATCTCTCCTTCAAAAAAAGTGTATGGGTCATTTTAAGCAGGGCTGCTGGACAATATTTGACTGATGCAATAGGGGTAGAGAAATACTGAATACTTTACCACTTTTACCACCAGATTAACAGGCTTTCCTCAAGAAGCATTGCTGAATCCAAAGGAAATTGACAATTTACATATGGTTTCCAACCTTCCGTTTTTAGGGATTACCTGGACTCTTTTCAGTGGAGTTTCAGTCTGAGTTATAGTACTGAAAGAACATTGATTGCGCTTCCCATTGACTCTTGGCAGGCTTGAGATTGGAATGATGGACCCATTCTGGCCCTCTTGGATCTCTCAGTGGCTTTCAATACCATTAATCATGGCATCCTTCTAGACTGGCTTAGGGGGCTGGGAGTGGGGGGGACACAATTCCCCTCCTTCCTTCAAGGCTGGTTCCAGTTGGTATTGGTTAGGGAGAGAAATCCAGCTATTGATTCCTGCATTGCAGTGTCTCAGAGCTCTACTTTCCATCTATTCCCATTTAATATCCACATGAAACTGCTGGGTGAGGTCATATGTCAGCATGGGGTTAAGTACATCAGTTGTACATCTCTGCCCAAGTGATGCCTTCAAGGTTCTTTCCCAAAGTCTGGAGGCTGGGTAAGTCTGGATGGTGGCTTCCACTTAACCCTAACAAGACCAAATGGCTGTGAGTTTTAGGGCATCCCAGATCTGGAGATTTCCCAGACTCTGGATGGGGTGGCACTCCCCCAGACAGAGTTTGTGTCATTTTGGGGGTCCTCTTGGACAGGAGCATGGCCAGGAGGGCCTTTGCACAAATCCGTCTTGTATACCAATTGCTCCCATTCTTGGATCAGGAGGATCTGTTCCCAATCAGTTATACCTTAATCACTTCCTGGTTGGACTATTGCAATACACTCTACATAGGCTGCCCTTGAAAAGCATTCAGAAGCTGCAACTGATCCAGAGTGCAGTGGCACATATAGGTTTGGTCACACCACTGCTTTATGAACTTAACTGATTCCCAGTAGATTTCCAGATGCAATCCAGCATGGTGTTTTTCACCTATAAAGCCCGACATGGCAAAGGACCAGGATATTTGTAGGACCACCTGCCTTCAATTTAAACAATTGCTCGTCCCACCAGATCAGGCATGCTTTGGGTCCCTTCTGGGAAACAATGTCAGGAGAAGTGTCTCCTCTGTCAGGGTGTCTGCCCTATGGAACAGCATCCTTCCTGAAATTTGGATGGCCTTGACCCTGTGAGATTCCTCTAGGGCCTTGAAGACTTGGCTTTTCCCTCAAGTATTGGGTCAGGCTGTTAGTTGATCCCAGTATGTAGGGTTCAATATTTATTTTTCAGATTGTTTATTAGGAGCCACTTGTTTTTTAATTATGTGTGGATTTTTTTACTATAGATATTTACATTACGGCTTTTACTTTTTGTTATGTTGTTGGTATGGTTTTATGTATTGTTAACTGCCCAGAGCCACTGTGTTGAGGTAGGCCTCCATATCAGTCATTTAAGTAAACATGTGTCATACGAAACCTTCTTGCAAAAGAAAATTGTGTCAATTACAAAGAAACCCATGTTAAAGGATTAGTGACTTCTGGTGTTCAGCATTCTTGGTTAGATTCCTTCTGGGTATTTACTTTTGTTTCTCTTCCAGTACAGAGTTACTTAGTTTATAGTTTCCCCTGCTTGTTTATGCTTAAACAAGTTTCAGTGATTTTTTCAATTATAAAGAAATAGGGGAAGGGTTGTCCCTACAGATGGAATGCAAGATTTCTACATAACTGCTGACCCATAACTGCTCACTTATTTCTCAGTAAAGTTATTTGTATAGTTTTGATTTGCATAATGGATGAAAGAATGCTGTTGGATACAGATGGAGTTAGGTCTCTTAGACTAACAACTATAGGGAGATTAAAAATGTATTCTGTAAAACTACTTTGTTGATATCTTTAATATATGTGCAACAATTATTGGAAACATATTGGGTGGACTGCAGCCCTGTTATACCCATAAGAAAAACGCACCCTTTCTCTTATCAATAGATTGCTACAAAGATGAGTTTTGTCTTTCCTTATTAAAGAAATAAAAATGGAAGTTAAAATACGTGGTTTGACCACATGAAAATAGAAGTAAACTTGATCATCAGCACTGTATTTTGCATGTTGTTGGAAGTGGTGCTTATTCTCAAGGTTCATAGAAGGCCATTAATCTGCAACTGGGCCGCGGTTCCAACATTTGGTGAAACATGGAAGGTCTCTTTACACCTTTCTAGAGGTTGCTTGCACAATTGAATTTGCTCAGGACAGTAAATTTTATCCAAGCTTCAGATGATACAAATATGAGCAATGACAGAAAAATTAACCTCTTGCCCAGTGAACAGTTTACTTTTCCTGTCTGGGATGAACTGATCTGTCCTGTGCCCCCTGCTTATTTTCCTGTGATACTTTGGTGCTCCCTTTAGCCTGGCGAAATTATTTTCTGTTGCTTTTGTGTTTTGGTGTGAGGCTGCTTCTGTATATAAATATGAGACAAGAATTGAATATAGTTGCACATTTCTCTTGGGTGGAGAAAAAATCATTTGGGTATTTCAGACAAGAGCTCATTTAGATAAACAGCATAGGAAGTCAGAGGAGGAGGAGGAGGAGGAGGAGGAGGAGGAGGAG